GGCGCTAGTTCCTTTTGTCTCGAGAGATGCTGATACTTGAAACTTGCTGCCGTTTGACATCCGGCTGGATTTGCAGCTTCGCCTTGTCTCGTTGTCTCAGCTTGTTTAGACTCGTCAAATGGAGCCTAAAACTAGGTGGATCAAAAGTTTGAAGCTCGGACGCGAGCGTGACGATACGTGAAACGAACTGCACGATAGAAAGTAATTGTCACGTTTGTCGAAACGCTTCGTTTCAATTTGCAATTCGCAATTTTTCGCGACAGAAGGAATCGTTGTGTGATTTAAATTTGAATAGAAAAATGTTGGACCGTATCATCGTGAAAGTTTGGAAATTCGCTGCGAACGTTTTTAGACACTCAAAATTTAGAATTTCATCGTCATTGAAGGAAAGAATATTACTCTTTATTCACCCAACCTTTACAAATTACTTCGTCTCACTCTCGCAGATAGAATGCAACAATTCTGTTATTGATTTTAATATTAGAACTATCGGCGATTAAAACGTAAAATCCAGAGATGTTAAAGTAAAAAAAAAAAAAAAGGAAAATAGAGAGCTTTGTAGTACATAAGCTTTTATTTGTACATTTTACGAAAAATCGTTTAAATATCTAAAAGTACACTGTAAAATATCCAACGAAAATTATAAACTGGTCATTTTGACCATTTTGTCAGTGTTGATAGAATTATCACTAATTGTGCAAGCTATTTGAGGCAGTTAAAAAACATCAGAATTTCAGTAAAAAAAAAAAAAAAAAAAAAAAAAAAAAAAAAAAAAAAAAAAAAAAAAAAAAAAAAAAAAAAAAAAAAAAAAAAACAATAATAATAACAATAAAGATAAAGTTCAAGGCAATAAAAAAACATCAGAATTCCAGTGAAAAAATAATAATACTAATAATAAATATAAAACAATAATAATAACAATAAAGATAAAATTCAAAGTAAAAAAACATCAGAATTCCAGTAAAAAAATAATAATAATAATAAATATAAAACAATAATAATAACAATAAAGATAAAATTCAAAGCAGTAAAAAAACATCAGAATTCCAGTAAAAAAAATAATAATAAATATAAAACAATAATAATAACAATAAGGGAGTAAAAAAACATCAGAATTCCAGATTAAAAAAAAAATAATAATAATAAATACAAAACAATAATAATAACAATAAAGATAAAATTCAAGGCAGTTAAAAAACCAGAATTCCAGTAAAAAAAATAATAATAATAGTAAATATAAAACAGTAATAATAACAATAAAGATAAAATAATAATAATAATAATAATAGTAATAAAGAAAAAAGGGAAAAAAGTACCAGTAGACAGATACACGTAGATGTGTGCTCCGACGCTTACGGTCAATCTAAAATCCGAAAGACACAGAGATTACCCGGGTACGACGGCACGGTCCTGGGAAAAGTGTTCGTAACGGCGTACAGTGAAGTGCATAAGAGGTCCCCGAGGAGGAATAGGTTTAAGAAGAAGAGGGTAGGAGCCGGTAGACCTCCTCGAGCCGTCCTCAGTGTATAGAAATTCAGTGAGCTTGCAAAACCTCTTGAGCACGCGCTCGAGAAGCGGCTCGTCTTCCTCTTGTCGTAGGCGCGGAGAGAAAACGTACGAAAGAAGAGGCGAAAATTCCTTTTGTGCCCCGGGACGTGAGGGCAGTGGCAGAGCCAACGACAAACTGACCGGGCATGAAATAAAGAATTCCTCCCTCCTCAGTTTCCCTCGCAGTTCGCTGTTCCCGAACACGAACGAAACTCCAGTTCGATACACGATCGTCTCGCGAATTTTCCAACCGACGGTGCTAATTTTAATAATTTTCGAGGTTGATAGTTAATAAATTTCTAAAGTTTCTAGGCAATCTCTGCAGATTACACCTATGGATTTCATTCGTCTTATTGTTCTGTGTTTCGATTGAATTCAACCAAATTTCACATCAATATGATTTCAAATTCTTCTTTTACAAAAAAACACTGGTCCTTTTGTCAAACGTAATTGTATGAATCTTTTGATTAATATTTCAGTTTCTATTATTTAAATTGTAACGGCTCTGTTATATTTGTGATTTATAATAAACGTCATATTATTGTTATGTATAATGAATCTGATAATATTATATAATAATGAATGAAATAATATTATAACATTATTTTATTATGTTAATTCACAATATTATTATATTAATAATTAATTATTATTTTATATAATATTATTATATTTATAATTTATCACAAGACGATTTTATAACGTTACAATCATGACAATTTATATCTACAATATTTTGATACGTGTTTAAACGCCGGTCGTTCTCGTGTTAATCGTGAAAGATCATCTAATGATCCCTGCACTCGACGCCGAAGAACATAACATATTCAGTACATATGCGATATATCGGATACTGTGAGATAATACACACGATGGAATGGGAAAGACGTGATAAAGTACAAGCTGAAAGTGTGGGTTGAAATCTTATTTTCTTCGGCGGAATTTTCACGCAGCGAGGCTAACGGCTGTGACGATGTTTCAATACCAAGAAGCCTGCCAGAGAATCTTAGCGGTTCTTCGTATGAATTAGTGTTTTCTTTTTTATTCAATGCACGCGGTACACGCGGCTCGTTCCCCATAAAAAAGTAACGGTTGCCGGTCTGGTTGTTACAGACCGCCGCGTAAAGAGCCGTCGTGTTCGCGATACAAGCGATACAATGCACGTCCCGTTTCCTATTCGCGTTACTTTGACAAATTTCAAATATTACGAGTGTTCAACTCGTGTACGAAAAGTCGAACTTTGACGAAACTTTGGTCTCCTTGCCACTTCCTGTTCCCGAAAAGGCCAACTCTTACTTTATTTTTGTATATTTTTTTTATCCTCTTTAGTTAAAAACAAAAGTAAAATATTTACATTTGTTTAGCAAGGGTAGAATAACAATGGTCAATGTTGGAGCATTTCGATGCAATTTTCACTTGAATCGAGAAACACATCATCGATAGACACGGTGTTTTCGAAATTTTAATGAAACTTTGACACGTTTTGGATCCACTTGCAATTTCTCACGATCTGGACAAACGATCTACAGATCAAAGGATCGGATCGTTCTTGGAACACGATTCTGACAAATCGTTGCACGGTGAACAGCTTCACATTGTTGGTTCTACCTTTAGGACGAAAAGTATGAAAGAGTATAAAGGATTCGATTCAAAGGGTATTGAGAAGGACAGGTCACAAAAAATCTTTGAAGTTCACGGTTCAATCCTTTTCTTCGTGCCAGTCCTCTTTCTTGTACGAATCCTCCCATTTTAGATGAGAACGATCATTTTCTTTCTGTCGGGAATTTTTTCACGCAGTAGCCTGAAACCGTGAAAAATATTAATAGATTAGAAATTGGAAATTACCAATATCCCCAGAAACTTTGGATAATTTGTTGAACTGTGCATATTTTAAAACGTTAAAAACTGATATAATTTAGATAAAAGTTGCGTGGGAGAGCGTAAGGAAGGAAAATAATTCAGTTCCTTCAACGTAATTACCCGCGAGTTTCCTATGGAGATAGTAAAATGAATAAATCTTATGCTGGAAATTAAATGAAAACAATGCCCGAAGATGTAATTACTGTGATAAAACTCTTTCGTACTCGCTATCTTACCGACATTAATGTTATACAAATGGCATAAACATGGAATTACGACATTTTTATAATAGTGGAAGCTCAGCTTTCATTTTTCTACTTCGTTAAACTTCCAAAGAAGTTTCTCTGCAATTATTAGAAAAATTTCCATCAAACTTAACTCAGTCTAAAATTTTCATCGAACTTAACCTGATCTAGAATTTCCAATCCAACTGTTAACAATAAAATAAAAAGAGAAGAAACATTTCTCTAAAACTCCAGTGTAAGACTTAATTTATAACTAGAAATTGATCTCGAAGCGTGTTCGAAAAGAGAACGAAAGTGAGTATCGCTGTCACACGAAGATTTTCAATTCCATCAACTCTGTCTTTATCGAAACTTTTCCAATAATATCTCCTCGGCGAACGCCATAAGCGAGATTCGTATCCTTCCACTTTTCCTGGTAAAAATCAACGAACAGTGTAGACACTCCTGGCAACTTCATTCGATCGTGAAGCATCCAGCCATTTATCAGCGACGCTCTTGAAATCGTAAGGTGGATCGAAGGATTTACGCTTGGCGATGATACGATGTCTTCATTCGTTCGACACTCGATCTTTTTATGGTTAACTGGAATTTTATCGGCAACCTTTTCTCCCTCGTCGTTATCAAAGCGATGCGCAAACAACGAATTTGATAAGACGTTGGGAGAAAACCTACGCGATATCGCGACACCATTACTTTCTCTTTCTCTTGCAAGGATGAAAACAGATTAGTCACGTAGTAAAATCGTGTTCGAGGGAGACACGATTCGAAGGATTTTAGATGACGAGAATCACCTTTCCCCTCCCCCCCTTTTTTTTTTAGAATGACTTCCGTTACGCGACACGGAAGCTCGCCGACTTTTGATCCTAATTACGATCGAGACCAACCACTGAGAATTCTTGGGAATCCTGTCTCCTCGTGTGAATCTCGGCAATTTCCAGTTAGTTGACAAATGACTCGTGATTTCGGTTTTTTTAGCTGTGTCGAAAGAATAATTACGAAGATTTTCTCGCTTCGTTAGGGAGAATTTGTCGCTTCGTTCTTGAGAATTTTGTGGTGGCTTTTGATTAATAAATATTACGATTAATATTTAAATGTCATCATAACAACTACTGTTTAATTTAATTTTTTTTCTTCGAACACATTTTTACAATCGAATTTTCAATATATTTATTACTATTCTATTCCCTTCTTATTTTGCTATCGGTGCTGTCGAATGTTGCGATTTTACAACGATTCTTTTTTTCTTTTAATTAGAAGAAACCTTCTCCAGCGATAACAGGATTGGTGAAATATTGTTCTACATTCGGTAGGTTTCCAACGACTGAATATCAGGCAGTGAATTCTCGTTTTGGAAAGAGAATTGTCTCGTTAGGCTGGTGAATTTTTATCACCTGGTGATTTCTTCTTCTTTTTTTTTTTTTTTTTTTTTTTTTTTTGTTTTTCTTCTGTGGATACAACTCAGGGCTCACGCTTGGACTGCACCAAAAAGATGTTGGTTGTTGCGCTTCACGGTATATTCTGCAACGTGCTTGCTGCATTTCAGTCAAATATACATACGAAACGAAACTTAGCGGCCCCCAAGGAAACAACGTATCCTTTCGAAACTTCTCTAGGTAGCGACGTTAATCCTACGAAAACTTTCTTGAAAGCTCGCCAACGTTGATCGATGAAGGCCTGGTTCACGGACGGTTTCAAAACCCTAATTCTAACTCGAGAATTTGAATTCCTTTCGACAGACAGACTTCGAATTCGTCGCTCAAGAGCCGTTTCCAAGGAACCCCACGTGCGAAATCCTCTGATTAAAACCCTCTGCACACGTCAGATGGCTTCTCGATTTTAGTAGAGAACACGCGGCATCCCAATTTGCCTGGCGAGACGGGAAACCGTGTCGCACCAGACTTCAGAATTTGAGTAAAACGACAAAAAGTACGTGAAAAGGCCCCCTCAAAANAAAAAAAGAAAGAAAGAAAACACGTCCAAGAGGACTTGCAATTTGACTAAGAGCACGTCGCAATTTGATTGGAAAGACGAAAGAGGTGGGGAGAGGAAAGGATTGAAGAGAAAGAGGAACGTTGGCAAGTCCTGGATGATGTAGTCGAGAGCGTCAGGACGACGAGGTAACAAAGAAAGAAAGAAAAATAGGAGAGAGGGTGGTGGAGGAAAGGGAGACAAAAAAAAGAGGAAGAAGAAGAAGGAGAAGGATGGAGGCGAAAGAGGAGACATCCGAGTCGTGGGGGATCACCGAGGGCTGAGAAAGAGTGGGACGAACGCGAGAGCAAGAGAGGATGCACAAGCACACGAGCCAACTACGCGGTCCCAGCGGCCCCGGAAGCGGACACCATGTTGCTAATAGAGGTCCTGTCAGAAGGTGGAACAGCTTCCACGGCGGTGGGAGCATCGGCGGCGGCGCGAGTAATTTCAACGACACCGTTGGAAATGGCAATCTGCCCCCCGGTGTGATCAGCAAGGCGTCGCAGGAGCCGTTCAGGGCCGTGCCGAAGGCTGTCCAGGCTCTGAGGAGCGAGTCCGTCGACAGGAGCCATCGGGTACAACCACCGCCGCCCCCGGCTTTCCCCCGTAGACGATTCTCCGTGTGGTGAGTCTCGAAATTTCGATCAAACTTCGCGCGTATATTCTTTGGTCAAGTTCTGTGAAATTCCTTTTTTATTCGTCTTTTTTCTTTTGTATTATTTTGTCATTGTATATAATATTATTTTCTTATAAGAAATAATATAATATAAAATATTATATAATATTCTAAATGTAATATTATTGTTATTGTATAATATTATTTTATAATATTATAAATATAATATAAAATATTATTTTTCCTTATAAGAAAGAATTCTATATAAGAAAAAAATACATATATATATATATATACTATATAATATATAAATATTATAATTAATATAAAATATTAATATTAATGTTTAATATATGTATAAAATTATTTTCTTATAAGAAATAATATAATATAAAATATTATTTTTCCTCATAAGAAAGAATTCTATATAAGAAAAAAATACATACACACATATATATATATATATTTTTTTTTTTTGTCACGCTCTGTTTGTCATATACATATACATATGCTCGTCAACGATTCTCTGTGGTGGAGTTTGGAAATTTCAACGAGTATTGTACTTCTGTACGAATGATTGACCGCGAAGTTTGTCAATGGAACATTTAGAAATTAATTAAGAAAATTGAAAGTATACGACACTGCACACAGCAGAAACACAAAGATACGTCAGAGGTACGTCAGACTAATTAATCATTAATTATCTAACTACGAAATGGAAGAATGTTTATTAGAATGTGTAGACAAAAGATACGTCTATACTCGACGAAACACAAAATCTACACAGTCACATACACTTTTTCAAGTAGCATCGCTTTACGGATCAAATCTACACGGTACGACGCAAATTAATCACCGGACGGTAATTAATTCTCCAAACCGGTACCCGTAAATTAACACCGATGCAGCATAAATCACCACGATCGTGCATTATTCGAACGGTAAATCCGACTCCTCCTGTACAACAACCCTCTCCACTCCAAAATGGATTATCTATTATCGAGCAATTTTTATCGTACGAAACACCTGGCCGACTGGCGCGCGCCCAGTCATAAATCAATCTTTCATTCGATCCACCGTCGATTTTTCCCTTCGATTTTTTTCGCCGATATTGAAGCGATTCCGCTTAACGATCGAACAGAAAGAACGAAGAGAATTCGGCGCCGCGCGTTTTTCTTCGCGCGTTAACGGGAGAGGAGAGAGAGAGAGAGAGAGAGAGAGAGAGAGAGAGAGAATCGGCTCACGCTGACGCGGCGTTGCATCTTTTATCGATGCAACATCGTAACGAAAATTTATCCAACGTATAAATCAGCTTAACGCGCTCGTTGGAACGGACGTGCGTTACGATGCGAATATAATTTCAATTAATCTCCATAAAACCGCGACAGCCGAGCCTCTGTTTTCTCTCTCTCTCTCTCTCTCTCTCTCTCTCTCTCTCTCTCTCTCTCTCTCTGTTTCTCGTCGTTTGTTTTATTCTTACATTTTTTCATCCTCTCCATTCGTCGGTACGGACGATACACGACGCATGAAATTACACGGCTGGTGGCTGGCAGCCATTGATACCTTAATTGAAATTTAACGACGTAATTCGTAATCGGCGGGCTTGGTCGATCGAAATCGTCCGCGATGGGATATGCCGACAACTGCGTGGCTGAGCTCGACGGAAGCTCGGTCGTGAACAAAAATCAACAGGAGGCAAGGATAAGAGCACTGGAGGATCCTGCGCGTAGGTGTCGCGAAGTTACAGGCGTTTGGTTAACCCTTTGCACTCGACTGTCCCTTCCGAGGGGACTTAAATCTAGTCAACGGCTCAGATGTTTTCTTTTTACAATTTGCTGACAATTAATTATGTATATCTGTGGTAGTTAGTTATAGAACGTATATTATACATCTTGTGTTTGATATGATACGATGTATAATAGTATAATGTCTGAACAAAACGCGTAGAAAGCTATAGTGACGTAAGAACAGAGGAAATTTCTCAAGACACTCAATAATTCACGTAAAGACTTCTTTATTGCTTCTCACGAAAGTTTCAGAAAGGTATCTTGTACATTGTAGTTGTTTTAACAAACCCGCAAATGGCACGATTGCTTGAAATTTAAATGACATCACATCTTGGGAAATCAATAAAATTATGTCAATTATTTGAATGATTGTTTCTAACGTTACGTCATTTTATTTGATGTGATGCTTAACAAAAAAATTGCTGGCAGATGATACAGAATATCAGTTTGTCGGGGGCAAAGAGTTAAATTTCGTTTTGGATGAACATTTGACACGTTAGACTCTCGCGTTGTACGTCTATTCGAAATTTTCGAGATTTATCAAGCTCGCCTTCTCAGCGAATCGCAAAGGGAGGGAGGCATTCTAAATTTGAATATTACTCGAGTGTGTGAGACGCAGCGGGACAGTTCGTGCCACGAGGTCGTGGGAAGACTCTTCTCAACGCCAGGAACGAGAAAGAAGCTTTTGTCATTCTTGCTTGTTTCGTTATTTGCCGGAAACAGTTATAAAATGCTGCTGGTAAAATGGAACGAGAGAGCACCGGTGTATAATAGATGTGACCGAGTCGACTCGAAAATATTTCATTAAACCGGCTGTGTTCGAGAGCCATTCTCCGGGTTAAACGGAGTAGGTAATGTTACCAAGTGACCAGGAAAATCCGTTCTGGCACGCTGTCGGAAGGTCAAATGGCCTGGTACCGTTTCGCGAATGCAGTCACACTTTCTGAGTGAAATCCTGAGGAACATTTTCTTTGGAAATATCGAACTGGATGAAGACAACGTAAGGAAGAAAACGTGTGCAATGAGTCCTGTTTTCGTGGAAACAAAATTGGTTAGAAATATTTAATTATGTGACAAATATTATTGTAACGTTGTAACAAGTTCAGTATTATAATTGACGCTTTCACGTATATTTGATTTTGATTGCTCAGAAATATTAACGGAAATAAATTTATTAACAGTCTAGAACAACCGTGTCAAAATATTCTGCATTATAATTTAAATGATAATTAAATGAGATAGATTCGTACAATTACGTTTCTAACCAAACAAAAGTCAATATTAATTTTGACAGGAATGCCCGTATTTTTTTAAATAGTTCAAACGAGAGTCTGAAATCAATCATATCGGGACCATTAATAAAATTACAATAGTTGAGTTAAAATAGTTAAGCAACAATAAAATTGCACGGTGACAGTTCTAACGTCTCGCCACGAAAGTGTTAAAATATTAAATTTGTACAAGTATCGTAACTTTGAAATTTAATAAAAAATTCTCTGTTGAGAGAGAGAGAGACAGAGAGAAAGAGAGAATTGTTAAAATGTTAACTCGAAGTAATTCGAAGCGACTCAAGATTTATGATTATCAGATTCCGCGTCGCATCCGTGGAGATTTCACAGGATTTCACTTGACGATCGTAAAACGTCATTAGATCCAATTTCGCTGCGAGACCACGCGCCGATAATGAAATCCCTCCCCTAAATTTCCTTTCTAAGACATTGTTGCACAACAACGCGTAGATTCCATTTCTGGCGATGTGAGTTCACAAGGTAAAAAAGTTTATTTGGAGGGAGGACCTCTTTTCCCCAGAAATAAACTCGAAATGAGTACTGTGGAGGATCTGGCTCCATGTGAAATCCCTAATCTCGATCCGAAAGTCCAAGACGAAGCCCGAGATAAGCGGAGAGAAGAAAGAAGAACGTGATACGAAACGAGCCGATGAAACCCGCAAGAGAAACCCGACGAGGACGTAACGTCGGAGGAACGGACGTGAGACTCGTCCATAAACGAAGCGACTATAATCGCCAGGACGCTTATCAGCAGCCAGGGTGACGTTGTGGGGTTAACTGAACGGCTCTGCAAGATGGAGAAGCCGGCCCTCGTGATCCACGTCGAATTCAATTTTCCTCGCTGCACGCACGCACACGTGACGCACGTGTTATCCGTTCGTGTTACAAACACTGGGATGTTTCGTAACGTGCAGACAATACCTCGTAATGGGAACTGATTCTGGTATCTGGGCGAAATGGGGATAAGTGCCTTTTTTTTCAATTTTGGAAAATAATTGAACTTTAATGTAATTGAAAATCAAGTAGAATTTATTAAACATTTAATAGAATTTGGATTTGAATTTTAATGCAATTGAAAGTTAAGTAGAATCTTGTTAAATTTCTCGTAGATTTTGTGTAAATTTTCAAGAAGTATCTCATTGTTGATGAGTGGACATGGATCTGTAACAATCAATAATATAATCTGTTATATTTCATTTTGTCATAATTATGTTTTCTGTTGTAATTTTGTGGATAGAGATCTTTAATAATTGTATAATCTATTACGGATATATTCTATACATAGAATTGAATTATTGTTAATACAGATCTATAATAATTATCTATTATATCTCATTTTACTGTAATTATTCTATTGTATGTTCTATTATATTTATTAGTATTATTATATTTATTAGTAAATTTTCAAGAAGTATCATTGTTGATAAGTGGACATGGATCTGTAATAATCAATAATATAATCTGTTATATTTCATTTTGTCATAATTATGTTTTCTGTTCTAATTTTGTGGATAGATATCATTAATAATTGTATATCTATTATGGATATATTCTATACATAGAATTGAATTATTGTTAATACAGATCTATAATAATTATCTATTATATTTCATTTTACTGTAATTATTCTATTGTATGTTCTATTATATTTATTCTATTTTAATTTTGTAGGTATAGCTCTATAATAATCTATTATAGATATATTATTTACACAGATCTAAATTATTGTTGATAAGTGGACAGACATTTATAATAATACTTCATTTTATCATATTTATTCTATTACAATTTTGCAAATATATACATATAATAATCTATTAGAGATTATATACACAAATCTAAATCGAACCCAAGAACATATATTTACTTTTTCGCTTTTTTTCGTCATTGACGACAGCTATTTAAAACATTATTTATTTTCTAAAATAGACAA